AACAAATAAAATGAACAGACAGACAAAACCAAACCAAAACAAACTGAAACAGAGAACAGATCAGTGGTCAGCAGATGGGAATGGGGCGGGAGGTGGGTGATGGGTCAGGGAGGTCATGGATGGCCATGGATGGTAGCTAAGCTCTTTGGGGGAACTCACTTTGTGGTACATACAGATGTCAAATTATAATGCACACCTGAAACATATCACAATAAAAATAAATGTAGAAGAAAAGAAAAATATAGTACACACATTCCCCCATTTTTAAGAATGTTGACAGTATAGGAAATACAAAAGCTGGAGAATCGGTGACAAGCACGTGAGTGAGGTCTGCGTTAATGCTGTGCACTCATAGAAAAGTGTGGCCAGTGTCTGCGTGGGTGAAGGATGGTGGGAGTGAGAGCTCCACAGTGGTGTCCTGGCCGGAGGGGCCCGGACAGGACCTGGGGCCTCACTGACTTTGGTCCCAGGAGGAAGCAGCTCTGATCAGGGCTCACCTTCCAGAGCCAGATAGGACACCGCAGCATCTGTCCGCTGCTTCCTTTCTGAGCACTCCTTTCTGAGGAGCAGGGCTAAGGAAGAGAACAGGCCTTTCCCGGTCTCCCCTCTGCTTTCATGCACACGTGTACATGTGTGCACACGTTCAGACTCTGTTGAGGGGTAGAAGTTCCCGGGTTCCAGGGGCTTTGCTGTCCGTATGGCTGCTGTACATAAAGCCAGCTGCCATCCAGGTGCTAGGCCAGGCTCTGGGCTTCAGCTCATGCAGGCAGGGTCCTCAGCAGGGATCATCTCCCACAGTAGGATCCCAGCGACCAAGTCATAGAGTCTTGGAGTCCGAAGAAATTGTTCGGCCTCAGAAGATGAACACGGTGAGGTGGGGTTTGCTGGACCCATTCACCATCCTGTCTGTGAGCTCTCTGGAGGGCATGCAGTCTGGTTGGCCCTGCTTCTGGCCTCTGCATGGAGAGAGGGAGGGGTCAGGGATGTGCTGGTCCACAGGGAGGCCATCAAAACTGAGGAGGGAGAGGGAGAATGGCCCCCAGGCAGCGCAGATGATGGGCAGTGTGCTGAGTCCCATGCAGGACATCTCAGCAAAAGTGCCCTTCCTGCCCCAGGTGTCCCTCTGGCTGGCAGCAGCAGCACTATAGGGCGAGTGTGTGGCACATGGCCCAGGTGTCCCTCTGGCTAGCAGCAGCACTATAGGGCGAGTGTGTGGCGTGTGGCACGTGGCCCAGGTGTCCCTCTGGCTAGCAGCAGCACTATAGGGCAAGTATGTGGCACGTGGCCTAGGTGTGCAGCAGCACTGTTAGCTGAGTGTGTGGCACGTGACCCTGGTGTCCCTCTGGCTAGCAGCAGCACTATAGGGCAAGTATGTGGCACGTGGCCTAGGTGTGCAGCAGCACTGTTAGCTGAGTGTGTGGCACGTGGCCCTGGTGTCCCTCTGGCTAGCAGCAGCACTATAGGGCAAGTGTGTGGCACGTGGCCTAGGTGTGCAGCAGCACTGTTGGCTGAGTGTGGCACGTGGCCCAGGTGTCCCTCTGGCTGGCAGCAGCAGCAGCAGCACTATTGGCTGAGTGTGTGGCACGTGCAGGCTGTGCTTTCTTTCCAGACCACAGCTGGCTGGCCTAGGAGACACCTCCGGCATGGCTTCATGTGAACACAAAGGTGCGCAGTGAGGAGCAGCAATGGGGAACTTGTTTGTGGAAGCAGCTTGTGGTGAGATGGTAACCCTGGCTGTGCTTCTGCTTCACGTCGGAGGGTTGAGCAATGTCAGGACCAGAGTCGTGGGTATTTCCCACTGTGGAGGAGGGAGTTCAATAGCCAGGGCTCGGGCTTATGTCATTAGCTTCCCTGGAAATAACCCCTGCTTCCCTGCGGCACACCAGAGCCGTAGTGAGCACGCCTGTCTCCAGGCTTTTCTTGGAAAAGGCATTTCTAGGAATGTCTGCCTGGCTTGGCCTCATGCCTGATGTGTTCATGAGTCAAGTTTCGTGGCAGGGCTGTGACTGGGCCCTTGGTCGGCATCACTGTGCTCCTGGGCTCTGCAGTGCTGGGCAGGGGCCGTCGTGGGCTTGCCCTGCACGTACACCTGATGCAGTCAGAGCTGAAGGAGTGCAGGTCTGGTGGGGGCAGCGTAGGGCATGTCCTCAGCGCTCCGCTCCTTCACACCCTGTCTCTAGGCCCTGGCCGGCTCGGGTCTGCCCCACGACCACACCCACGCCCTCACTCTCTTATTCTGAGATGTGGCCAGGCCGGCTCTGAACCCAGGTACACCCCACAATACGTAAGACCTGGGTTCCATTGTACATATGATTTGGGACGTGCCGGTATAAAAGCCAGAAATAAAGTGATCGTCACTCTGAAGTTTCAGTAAGAGGATTCGGTTGTCATCTTTGCAAGATCTTGATGACCACCACAGCACTGACCATGTCCCCAGGAGAGCACGGTTAGCCCCGGCGTACTTGGTGGCCTCCACAGTGCTGAGGCGGTCTGGGGTTTATTCACTTACTTAGGCAATTGTCATTTGCTCCTAGGTGTGCTCGTCTCTGTCGTTGCTTTGCTGCTCTCAGATGCAGCTCTCCCCCCCGGGACAGGCACAGAAGGGCTCTCCAGACCCCTTGCATGCCCCACTGTGGTGCTGGTGACCATGACGGGCATGCTGCAGTGGCACCCCTCGGCTGTGAGCCTCCGGGAAGGCGTGTGTCCTGGGTTCTGGGCCACAGTCAGACCCCCGCACCCGGCCTGTGTGCTGTGTGCGCTGGCCTTCAGAGGGGCAGGTCACGCTGCACAGACCACAGCCGGCTAAGACGGCAGCCTGTAGCCACTGCGAGGCCAGAGGAGCTGGCTCATGAGTTTAAACTGTTGAATTAGTGCTGATATTGGGAAGATTATATTTGGCTGTAAGTAACAGAACATCTGACTGACAATGTTTTAGGTTATAAAGACATTTATTGACTGAACTCCCTGACCAGGAAGCCTGAAGGTGGTGCTCCCAGGCCTGGGCAGCAGTGCCCTGGTGCCCCCTGTCCATCCCGCTGCCCTTCCCCCACTTCCGTGTCCTGGCAGGAGTCGGGAGCAGAAAACTTTTCCAGAAGTTCGCACCACGAGCTTCCCGTCTTCTCTGGCCAGAGCTGGGGGAAGAGGGCTGAAGGGTACTCTGAAGACAGGGCACTTTGCTGCCCGGTAGTCAGTGCCCTGCAGGTGCTCTGCCACCTGCCCACAGCGCAGGGTCAGCCGCGTCTGCTGCGGGCAGCTCCGCGCCTGCACCTGCCGACAGCACCGGCTCTGGCTGGGTCCCTGCCACTCTGCCACCCCGGCCATACCACTCTCCGCACGGCACAGTCCCTCAGCCCGTGCCGGGACTCTCGGTACTAACACTCAGATTTCAGGGTCGCGTCAGGGGTCCTTCTTGCCTGCTTTCTACCAAGCCAGTCTTTGGGAATAGAGGTGCAGTGCTCTGAGTCACTTTGCAAATTTATATCTGGGCGCATTTGTCCCTGGAAATTGAACAGAAGCATGTCTTGCACTGCCCTGGCAGTCAGAGGCTTCGGGCGAGGGTCCGGAGCCCTGGATTGGACCCAGGGCTTTCCACACGTGGCCACGCCGTGCTTGGTGTCTGTTGGCAGGTCCTCGGTCACCTGCCTGTCCCGGTCCATCTGTCACCCGCACTTCGGTTGCTGAGCTTCCTCTGCAGTCAGCATCTGGCTGAGCTCACTGTGCCACACCTGGCTTCCCATCTGAGTGGATTCATCTGCCCTGCCGCCCTTCACGGGCAGCAACCTGGTGTGTGTGGTTGGGAATGACATCTGGCTCATCTCCCAGCGCGCTGGCCGTAGCAGGGTCCCTGGAATGACATCTCCCAGTGCGCTGGCCGTAGCAGGGTCCCTGGAATGACATCTGGCTCGTCTCCCAGTGCGCTGGCCGTAGCAGGGTCCCTGGAATGACAGCTGGCTCATCTCCCAGTGCGCTGGCCGTAGCAGGGTCCCTGGAATGACATCTCCCAGTGCGCTGGCCGTAGCAGGGTCCCTGGAATGACATCTGGCTCGTCTCCCAGTGCGCTGGCCGTAGCAGGGTCCCTGGAATGACAGCTGGCTCATCTCCCAGCGCGCTGGCCGTAGCAGGGTCCCTGGAATGACATCTCCCAGTGCGCTGGCCGTAGCAGGGTCCCTGGAATGACATCTGGCTCGTCTCCCAGCGCGCTGGCCGTAGCAGGGTCCCTGGAATGACATCTCCCAGTGCGCTGGCCGTAGCAGGGTCCCTGGAATGACATCTCCCAGTGCGCTGGCCGTAGCAGGGTCCCTGGTAAATAGTGAGGGCTCCGTCAGAGCTTACAGGGCGACGAGTTCAGTCCATGGGCATCGCCAGAGGTTTTGCATGTTAGAAGCCGGTCAGAGGTAGAGGACGGGGGAAAGCACTGACCCGTAGGTCCCCACACGCGATGCACTTGCCGGCCACGCACTGGGAACCCAAATGGAGCTGGTCGTGCGCTGAGGGGCGAGTGGCCGGAGAAGCGGGGTAGCAGAGCTAAGGTCAGGAGAAGTGAGGGCCGTGCCTTGTCGTCAGAGAGGACTTTAGAGTCTATACGCCGGTTGGCGTGTGAAGCATTCTTCCACTTCACCACTGAGGTGAAGGGAAGCCGAGGGACTTGACCAAGGCCATGCGGCACTGAGCTGCTGGGCAGCCGGTGCTGGCGCCGCAGCTGCTGTTCCCGCGCGCTCGTCCCACGCGTAGGCGGGGCCCACTACAGCCGAGGGCGGCCCGTGGGACGTGCCGGCTTCCAGGCTGTCAGAATGACGGGCTCTCAGGGCTGTGGGGCCGCGTGCTATGAGCATGGAGCGGCCACCACGGCCCCTGGGCAGGGGCCGCTGTGTGTCGGGCCGCAGGGTGGGGCGGCTGCGCTGGCGGGGTGGGCCCTGCCGCTGCGGCCGAGACCTTGCCGACAGCCCTCGGCGGGTGTTTCTTTAGACGGACGTCACTTCTCTCTTCTCTTCTCCCCTCAGGACAAGACATTTCAAAGAGAGTATCAGATTCATTCACGAGTGCCGGCTCAGGGGAGAGGGCTGTCTCGTCCACTGGTACGTATGCCTCCTGCCCGAGAACACGCGGTGTTCGCTCAGCCCGGCTCCCATCGGGGTTTTCTGTGTGTGATTGATTATTCCATCTCCCCCTGGTTTTTTCCACCCTCAGAATCTCACACACACCCACCTGACCCTCCTGTTTGTTAGACACTGTTTGCTTCTGTTGGAAGAGAACCCTAAACTTTCATCTTCACTTGGGGTTCCATTGCACAGTGGGACTTCAGTAGGGACTGTCGGTGACTGGAGCACAGAGCCTGTCTTTGGCCAACCTCTCCATCCCATCAGACAACCCCTGCAGAGGGCACACCCTGTGGGCTCGCTCCTGCATCTCCAGGTCTCTCAGCACAGTTGTCTGCAGAGCTGGGCTCGGGCGTGTGGCTGCGGGCATTGCCGGACCGCCGCACCGAGGACCACCAGGCCAGGGACCACCACGCCAGGGACGCCACCTCCGTCTGCGCTGGGGCTTCCTGTGCCTTTGGCTTTGACAGGATCTGAGTAGCCTCTTGAGTGAAACAGTTACAGGCAGCTGTACCTGTGGGCGTGGGTGTAGATGCACACACATGATACACACATGTGCATGTATGCACACTGCGGGGAAGGGTGTTCTGACGCGTGGACCCAGTGACGGCGCCCATGCAGTTCTGAGCACTCGGGGAGCGTCGGCCCCTGCCCTTAGCTCCGGTCTTTACTCTAAGAGCGGAACTGTCTGCAGGGCCAGCAGCCAGCGTGTGGAGGCTGAGCCGTCCCTGTGTCTGCAGGGGCCTCGTGTTGATCAGCAACGTTAAGTCCCCAGGGACGTGGCTGTCCTACTGAAGTCCCTGGAAACAGCCGCACCTCCGGGGAGGGCTGGGGGGCCGTCCTGCGGCAGAGGGGCCCTTCGTGAAAGCTGCCCTGTGTCCTCACCCCGTGGGCAGCAGGGACACTAGGTAGTCCGATGGCTTAACAAGGCTGTTCTGTAGTTTTATAAAGTTCTTGAAATAGTGTGGTTATTTGTTTACATTATAAATACAAACGGGGAGTTTTGCGGCATCATCTACATTTGCTTTAAAGCACTTTGAGGGCACAGTTGGAGCCATTTCAGGGCAGTTTTGAGCCCCTTTCTGTACCTGGGCTTCTAGAGCTCCAGAGAATGTGTGTTAAGCTCTCGGTATCTCTGAGACGGAGATGAGGAAGAGCCACCACCTCAAGGTGGCGGATTGGTATCTTTGCCATATTCTTTTAATTGTTTACATGTGACTCTCTGTGAGTCTCATATTCTAGGAATGTGTATGTCATTCAGTCGTGCACATCTGCAGACAGGCCTTTCTCAGAATGAGAAATGTGCTAACTCCCCATCCTCAACCGTTGCTGGCCCTCCACGTCTGACACAGAGCCTTTCTGTGACCACTGTCGTTTGCATATGCACTGAAGAGCCACCCCTGGCCCAGCCGGCTGGGGATGCTCAACCGCCAGGGCACACACTTGGCTGAACTTCAGACACGTGTGCGTGTGCACTGTGGGCTCTGCCTGGCTGTGTCAGACACGTGTGCGTGTGCTCTGTGAGCTCTGCCCAGCTGTGTCAGACACATGTGCAAGTGCGCTGTGAGCTCTGCCCGGCTGTGTCAGACACGTGTGCTCTGTGGGCTCTGCCCGGCTGTGTCAGACACGTGTGCTCTGTGAGCTCTGCCCGGCTGTGTCAGACACGTGTGCGAGTGCTCTGTGAGCTCTGCCCGGCTGTGTCAGACACGTGTGCTCTGTGGGCCCTGCCCGGCTGTGTCAGACACGTGTGCGAGTGCTCTGTGAGCTCTGCCCAGCTGTGTCAGACACGTGTGCTCTGTGAGCTCTGCCCGGCTGTGTCAGACACGTGTGCGCTGTGGGCCCTGCCCGGCTGTGTCAGACACGTGTGCTCTGTGGGCCCTGCCCGGCTGTGTCAGACACGTGTGCTCTGTGGGCCCTGCCCGGCTGTGTCAGACACGTGTGCTCTGTGAGCTCTGCCCGGCTGTGTCAGACACGTGTGCTCTGTGGGCCCTGCCCGGCTGTGTCAGACACGTGTGCTCTGTGGGCCCTGCCCGGCTGTGTCAGACACGTGTGCTCTGTGGGCCCTGCCCGGCTGTGTCAGACACGTGTGCTCTGTGGGCCCTGCCCGGCTGTGTCAGACACGTGTGCTCTGTGGGCCCTGCCCGGCTGTGTCAGACACGTGTGCTCTGTGGGCCCTGCCTGGCTGTGTCAGACACGTGTGCTCTGTGGGCCCTGCCCGGCTGTGTCAGACACGAGTGCTCTGTGGGCCCTGCCTGGCTGTGTCAGACACGTGTGCTCTGTGAGCTCTGTGAGCTCTGCCCGGCTGTGTCAGACACGAGTGCTCTGTGGGCCCTGCCCGGCTGTGTCAGACACGTGTGCTCTGTGGGCCCTGCCCGGCTGTGTCAGACACGAGTGCTCTGTGGGCCCTGCCCGGCTGTGTCAGACACGTGTGCGAGTGCGCTGTGAGTTCTGCCCGGCTGTGTCAGACACGTGTGCTCTGTGAGCTCTGCCTGGCTGTGTCAGACACGTGTGCTCTGTGGGCCCTGCCCGGCTGTGTCAGACACGTGTGTGAGTGCGCTGTGAGCTCTGCCCGGCTGTGTCAGACACATGTGCTCTGTGAGCTCTGCCCGGCTGTGTCAAGAACAACACAGGTCTCAGGTTAGGCCTCTGTATTTAACGGGTTCTAAGTTATAGATTTAGCCCTCACGTATCTCAGAAAGCCAGTTTTAAAAGTGAAGCCTTCTAGACTGCTCAGGTTATAATGGATTTCCTGCCTAGGTGGCAGACCCCTCAAGTTCCTTCGATGTGCTTTAGTTATTCATCTGTCTGGGAAATGGGAAGTATCAGAGGAGGGCTCAGGAGTGACAAAGGATCATAACCCTGCATTCTCCAGAGCCATAGTCAGTAGTAAAGCTGTACAAAATGAGGTTAATGATTTAAAAAAACAATGCCTGAGGTTCTAATGTAATAGAGAGAACCTTGTAGGTTTCTGAGCGTTTCCCACGTAACATACTAGCTTGCTGTCTACCCACAGTCCAAGGCAGGCTTTGTAAAACCAGGTCCAAAGCATCCCTTGCTCCAAATGGAGCAGCAGGTAGACTTGTGGGCCCTGACCCCTCTTTGCCTGTGTGGTGTTCTCTTGGCCCTGCAGCCTGGCCGGTGTCTCCAGGAGTGTGACTCTGGTGATCGCGTACATCATGACCGTCACGGACTTTGGCTGGGAAGATGCCCTGCACACTGTGCGTGCCGGGAGGTCCTGTGCCAACCCCAACCTGGGCTTCCAGAGACAGCTCCAGGAGTTCGAGAAGCACGAAGTCCATCAGGTAACGTGCCCTGGGGCTCTGTTAAGTAGGCAGCAGACCCTGGGACAGGCCTCAGTGTTTCTGCACATCCCCGGAAGCATGGAGGTTCACGGTGGAGGGGCCCACAGAGGACATCTGGTCCCTTGTCCACCAGCTGCAGCCACAGGCTATCACCCTTTACCACCTTCCTTAGGCCCCGCGTTAGCTGCATTTCTCTCCCTTTGGGTCAAGTGACATTTTCTTGGTTTGGCTGATGTTCATGTCCTCAGGCCAGAATCTTGAAGAAGCAATGATTTCTCTTGCTTGACACCAGTTGGTCAACCACAGGGCTGTGCTCGCCCACGCCATTTATTTCCAGTTCATATGTCATAGGTGAACGCCTCCGTGCAGGGAGGGTGTATGACGTTGGGTTTTCTTTCCGGCTCCATTAGTACCGGCAGTGGCTGAAGGAGGAGTTCGGAGAGAGCCCTCTGCGGGACGCGGAGGAAGCCAGGAGCATTCTGGGTAAATATAAAGAGCACAGGCTCTCGGAGGCCCCGCCTGGTGCCTGGAGGGGGAGCAGCTTTCAGGCCCTGCCTCTGGCCTACAGCAACTGCACCACGGAGACCTGACGCCGCCACCTGGCGCCCTGGAGGCCAGGTCGGGAGGGTGGCGAAGAAGGTGCCTCCGGGCTCCTACCCAGGACTCCCCCGCCCTGCCTCAAGCCCTCAGCTGTGCTCACCTGTCCCCCAAACTTGCTGCCCGCTGCCCACACGGGCGCACACCTCCGTGCAGGTCTGTGTGCGTGTGTCTGTGTGTGAGCCGTGCTGGAGCCGCCACGGAACCCACACAGCCAGGACCACGGCGCCGCCTTCCTTGTGTCCGCCGCTCCAGACAGAGGCTTTCACCGGCGCCCGCAACGCTGCGTGGGCTGAAGCGGCCCGAGCCGGAGAGCGCGGTGAAAACTCGGGCGGCAGCTGACCCAGGGGTCGAGGCAGCCGCCAGCCGCCAGACTCCCGCAGGGGGCTCCAGGCCGGGGCAGGCGGCGGCGGTCATGCTCCGAGCGCTGCCGAGACCCAGTGACAGGGCGCAGACCGGGCTCCCGCTGCCTCGAGGCACGCCCCCGTTCAGCGCAGCCGCGCAGCGCCACGTGGCGGTGGTCGCTGGAGCCCCGCTGCGGCTCAGCTCGCAGGGAGCACTCCACGCTGCGTGCCGGGCTGCCCTTCCTGGCTTCCCGGCCAGCTCCCCGCACTCCCAGCCTCTTGCCGCCCACCCCGCCCGGGCCTCGCCCGTAGGCTTTGGGAAGGCGAGCGGCGAGTCGGCACCGCCCGTTTGCATTCAGATGCATTTGAAATGCCTGCACTTACGGGGCGCCCTTGTGTAGCTGTGGCCTGGCGTTTGATCCCAGCTACCTCATCGAATGTTTTTTGAAAAGGTAGTTTTTTGTGGTTCCAGTCCACTCCGCTTCATAGTTGAAGATGTTCGGTCGTGATTGCTTTGGAAGCCAGAGGGGAAACCATCACCGTTGAGCTGTTTAAAGTTTCTGAGTTGGGCTCCAGTACTGCTTTCCGTGGGTGATCCCAGTGTGGGCCGCGGCCTGGCGTGCCGCCAGCAGTGGGCGGGCTTGGAGCCCCCTCAGGCGCCCTAGCGCAGAGCCCGGATGGAACGTCCTCAGCCTCTCCCTGGAGAGCTGTGCTCCCGTTTCTCTGACTCCACGCAGAGAGCCCCGAGTAAGAAGAGCGTCCCCTGTGCGCTAGAGGGTGTCACAGACCAGGCCTTGGGGGACCGGGAGAAGGACGTCTCCTACTCCGCCCTTGGACAGGCCCAGACGACAAGAATGGGAAATGCCACCACAGACCTATCCACATGCAGATGAAACAGTTTGCTATAAAGTACTTTTCTTTCCCTTTAACCCAAAATAAATGTAAATAAGTTAACTGGAAAAGTGTTTAGGATATCAGCTTGAATGCTAAAATATGTGTACAGTTGTGAACATCTAAGTATATTCCTATAGGTCTTGAAATGTCGTTTTAACATTTGTTGCCAGTAATGTCCTCTCTCCGCAGCCACACCGGGACTGCAGAGGTACTGGGCCTTTCTCAGAAGACTGTGATGTGCCTGAAGCTTCTGAAATATTGCAAAGCCACAGAATTTTGTCTGGTGCAGAGTTTATTTTTCCGTGTCCAGAAGTGATCTGTAAACTTGTTTATTTTAAACTGAAACGTGTGTAATCGTGTTGTTGTATGTTCGGCACTGAGGACTCTCCTTAGCAAGAGGACGCATTTTTGCCTTAATCCCTGTGCTGCGGCCGTGTCTCGAAGCTCACTGCCGTGCCTGGGCAGCCGCACGTCCTGCTGCAGGGCAGGGCTGCCGTGACCACCCTGGCCACGTCTCGGGCGTTCGGGCCGCACCAGCTCAGCTCACGCCCTGGTTTCCAGCTGGTGTAGCTCTCCGGTGTTTCCTCCATGGTTTGCGGGTCTCCGTAGTGGCGTTCCCAGCAGCTACACGTGTGTTAATAAAAGGCAGCTTGGCCACTTCAGTGCACGTGCAGAGCATCCTTCCTTAGCTGAGTGGGGACCCCTGCGTGTCTGCCTGGGAGGGGCAAGGCAGGTGAGGAGCCTACCCCTCCTGCAGCAGTTCGGACCCTGGAGTTGTGTGTGGGCTGCAGAGTGTGGGAGCTGAATGTCCGGCAGCGGGAGAAGCAGCATTTGCCACGGGGCACAGCCCCGGCCTCCAGGGACACTGCTACCAGGCACCGTACTCAGCTTCTACTGTGAAAAACACAAACTGGCTCAAGAAGCAATGTTTTGACTTCCTGCATTTTTCTTGTCTAGACCCGGGGTAGGGGCGGCTAACTCTTTACTTCAAGGACAGGTTTGGCCTGAACTGACAGCAGGTGTACATGGGCCCTTGACTGCAGGTGGCAGGCTTGCCATGGGTCCCAGGTGTCTGCTTCCAGTGCCTGGAGGCTGCTGGCAAGGGGCTGGCATGAGCTGGGAGCTGTGACGGGCGGTTCAGTCAGCGGCCCTGATGACTGTGAGCTGAGAGGACTGATGAGCTTGCAGCACAGAGTTCACCCTGACGAGCAGGTGAGGCCCAGGTACCTCCGAGTGCTCCCGTTGCCACCTCTGCTGAGAGTGTTGACCGCGCAGATGCCAGAGGCAGAGGCTCCACTACTGTCCATGACCAGGCCAGGTGTTGGGGTCACACTTAAGACGGGAGCACTGAACTGCTACCCTGGGGTCATGGCTAGTCAGATGAGGTGGCCTGGGCAAGTTTTATTAAGCTATTTTTTTCTGTGACTTATTTTTCCACATACATCCTTTCTGGCCTGGAACTCAGAATATTGGCTTACGGTGGAGACTTACCTGGGCCACCTGCTCCCCCTCCACTCCGTCCCGTTATCCCCCGTGCACGGCTCCCCCCTCCACTCCGTCCCGTTATCCCCCGTGCACGGCTCCCCCCTCCACTCCGTCCCGTTATCCCCCGTGCACGGCTCCCCCCTCCACTCCGTCCCGTTATCCCCCGTGCACGACGGCTCCCCCCTCCACTCCGTCCCGTTATCCCCCGTGCACGGTTCCCTCCTCCACTCCGTCCGTTATCCCCCGTGCACTGCGCCCCCCTCCACTCCGTCCCGTTATCCCCCGTGCACGGCTCCCCCCTCCACTCCGTCCCGTTATCCCCCGTGCACGGCTCCCCCCTCCACTCCGTCCCGTTATCCCCCGTGCACGGCTCCCCCCTCCACTCCATCCCGTTATCCCCCGTGCACTGCTCCCCCCTCCACTCCGTCCCGTTATCCCCCGTGCACGGCTCCCCCCTCCACTCCGTCCCGTTATCCCCCGTGCACTGCTCTCTGCATAGTCCTCCCAGCAGATGCTGTGGGATTCATGCAGGATACAGACACACTCCTGCTTCTCCGACAGACATGGTGGTTTGGCAGGGAGGAAGACCGTCCGTTATAGAACAGGTTGTAAGGACTAGAGAGGTACTCGAGGTGCCGTGGTGGGGCCAGGAATGGAAAAACACCAATCCGGTTTTGGGTGGAGGGAGGTGGTGCTCTGAAAGGCATCGCAGAAAAAGTGATGCCTAACGAGAGTCCTCAGGCATACGTGCTGGCATTAGCGGGGCACAGCGGGAGGACGGGGAGTGCGGCAGAGGCGGGGGCACAAGGAGCCCGGGGCAGCCTTCTGCGCGGTGCAGACAGCAGAGGCCAGCCCACCAGCTGGTACTATCTCAGCCGTCTATCATTTGCTGCCTCCCTACTGCACAAGAACTGGTTTCCTTCCACCACCCCCTGCAGCTCTCATTCCCAAGTGGAGCCTTGCAAGCAGCGTGGACGCCGCGGTGCAGGAGGGGATGAGGATGGGTGCTTGCTGGACGTGCCAGGCAAGCCGGCGCCAGGATTGGTGTGTGGGCGGAGGGTGGGGTGTCCAGGGCCAGGCAGGAGGCAGCTGAGACAGCCCCTGGGTGACAGAAGCTGGCGCCCAGCACAGGGTCGTGGTGTGGAGATGAAGAGGACCCAGGAGGCAGATGGACTGCTGGAGGGGGTTGGGAGAGAGGAAAGCACTCGGTGCCGCCCGAGGGAGGGCCTGGTGGCCTTGCCACAGTCCAGAGTCTTGCTTCCCACGCCAGGCTCTCGTGTGTGGTCCGTGCAGCTCCCGCACGGCGGCGAGGGCAGGCTCAGAGGGACCCTGGCACTGTAGGGGCTCGCCCTGCGTGACCAGCTCTGTGGTCAGGGTTCGAGTTTGTCCGTGCACCAGGGCAGACTGCCAGGAACCCGACGCGTGACGATTAGTGTAGAATTCAGATGTCCAATTATGAAGACTAATGTATGCCCTAGCCAGGCCATCTCTCAGTATCAGGATTTTGGGAAAACAACCTATTGTACACCTCCATTGACAATGTTATATGTCAATTATATGTGAATGAACCTGAAATTAAAGGAGGGAAATATCTTTTAAAGCATTAAAAAGTTTCAGGAGGCCAAACGAGTCACTAGGCATTATCCCGTGAGCGTGGGCACAGAGCTAAGAGCTCAGGGCAGGGGTCCCCCGGCCTGGCCTGGCCCCACCCCCAGGGCTCTGGGCTGGCAGGCACCTCTTGTCCCTGAAGCTGCCTTTCCTGGGTCCAAGCAGGCCACCCTGTGGACATACTCTCTCTGCCTGAGATTCTTTGACTTCAGTCATGTTTTCAGAGTACCTTAATTAACCTCGAGTGTTCTCACGTGCCCTCAACAGCACTTTTGCTTTTCCATGAGGATGGTTCCCACCAGCAGCTTTTCTACCATATCGGGTTCTGCTGTTTTTTGTTAGTTTCTGTCTCAGCAGGGAACCCCACTTGCGGCTTCTGGAGCTACTCAGTCACTCGGGCAGAAACAGCCCATGCGTTCTGCTGATCGGCATGCATGCACACGGCTGGGTTTCTTGTGTTTAGATTTTATTTTAGAGAAAGTCTTAACCTTCAGGGGCGGGGGTCTCATCTGCAACATCAAGGGGCGAGTTGAGCTCAGGCACCTGGGTGCCCAGGGACACAGCTCTCATTGCACAAGCAGAGTTGGTCGTGAAGGCTGCTCTGCAAACCAGCCTCTGGACGGAGAATAGGGAACCCACTGTCAAACCCTGTGATCCCACTAGATGACTCCTCCCATCCTGACTCCGAGTTATTAATAATTTTATTGAGAATGTGCTTTCAACACGCTTGCATTTATATATGTACTTAACAAGAAATCACCAAGACTTCAGAGGGAAGTTCCTCTTCCCTTTCTTTTTTATTGCCTAGAGAAATGGAGACGCTAAGAAAAAGGAAAGTAAGAGAAGAAACACGCCTCTGACTGCCGCTGGAGGCCTGAGCTCGTCCGTGGCCCTGAGGGTCCAGCAGGGCCTCCTCGGCCCAGCTCGCCGGGCTGTCCCGTGCCTGGAACCGCCACACCGATTGTGTCATCCTGCAGACAGATCGCACACTTTGCTCTCGGTTCCCCTACTCCCACTAGAGATTTTGAGACCTGTGGGACATAACTATTCCAGCTAATATCAGAATTAGTGTTCTGTCTTGCAGCTTAGGCTTAAGCACCTTCAAGTTTGCAAGTGCACCGTCTGTCTCTTTCCGTCACAGGGAGAATCACCAGTACATGTTGGAACATCTGCGACTTGGGGTTTATTTTGGCTGCAGATCTCAATGCAAAGTGTTGATCATAAAGAGTTGGTAGTTCCTGAAGCTTCCAGTCAGCTCACTAGAGTTAGTGTCAAAGAGCTATTTTAACAGGTGACTGAAAGTACTTGGCCACTCATCATTCTAACTAAGTGTGGTGTGGTTTTACTTAGAGGCAGGTCTAGCAGAAGAGACTTATGTGAGGTCTTTTGTATAGAGGCCTGTTTAAAAAAGCAAGGTGGGAGTTAGGGAAGGGGCTGATTTTTTAGAGTAAACAATTCCTTCTAGGAACAATGTAGACTGAGACAGCTTTTGGAAACAGTGTTGATCACACCATTTGCTCATTTGCCCAGCTTGACCCAGGGAGACGTCAGCGTACCGTGGCCTTCCCTCCAGGACACGCACGGTGGCCGGCAGGTGCCAGGGGGCCCTGCCGGCAGCAGGTGTGGGCCCCCTTCCCCTCGAGTGTCACGGGCTGTCTGTTGCCTTCCCCTTGGCCTGGTGCACCCCCCGCAGTGGCCCCAACCACACCAACGGGAACTGTACTTGCTGGTGAGCAGCTTTGCCTTCTGTTGCTCGGCCCTGGGTTTCCCCAAGGCACTGGTGGGAGCCTTTTTGGAAAATAAAAATCAGAAGATCTCTGCATGTGCACCAGAAATGTCACCTTCTGCTTTGCAAAGGGTGTGCCCTTCAGGGCGAGAGGCCCAAGCGGCACACAGCTTCCTCAGAACAGCCGTCCCCAGAGACCGTCATGTGCCAGGGGTCAGATGCTCAAGGCTGCGTGGTTCGCGCCGAGCCACACTGACGTGGTCACAGGGAACGCGAGAAGGTGTGAGGGGCGGGGCGGGGCGGGGCGGGGCGGGGCTCTCGCAGCCGTGCGTGGGGTGGGCTGAGACCCGTAAGGCCTGCTGTGCACTGGCCCACCCACAGGGCCCTTCCTGTCACCCCGCCTCCCCCAGGCACAGGTGCAGGTCCTGATGGAGCCAGTTGGGTGCTTAGCAAACGAGGCTGAAGCCTCGACCCAGTGGCCAGGCGGGCCTGGTGAGTCCGGCCGATTCCACTTCTCTGGAATACCTTGGGGAAGCCCCAGAGGAGGCAAACCACACATGTGGGCAACTTCTTCTCAAGACTGGCATGAAAGAAACTCCCTAGAGGGTGAGCAGGCTGGACGGCACCGTGTGGGGCAGTGAAGGCAGGGCCAGCCCCGCAGCCTTCCTGGGGCCCTGCCCACCCCGCAGGCCTCCCCTGAGAGCAGAGCAGTGGCCGGAGCGGGCAGCGTCCTCGAGCGCTAGGGTGGGGCAGGAGCCGGCCTGGAGACTCGGTGTCCTGTCCTCACAACAATCTTGTGGCATAAATTCTACCCCCATCTTTGGATGAAGAAACCAAACTCCAGCGCGCTGGAGCAAGGCGCAGTCTCGGGGCGGGAAGTGGCCAGGTGAGGACCGGAACC